TAAAAAAATATAGAATTTCAAGTTGCAGTTTCCTCTGCGTCTTCCAATGTTATTGATCAGAAGACACAGAGGAAAGAGAAACGAACAGTGGATCCAAGGAAGAACATGGGAACTGATCGATGAGAGAAAAATTGCGAAGCTCAAAAGAGAGCAGGCCAAAACCGAACAAGCCAGAGAGGAAGGAACCCGATGCTACGCAGAATTAGATCGGCTAGTGAAGAAAAGCTGTCAGAAAGACAAGAAAGAATGGCTAGAATGAAAAGGTGCCGAAACTCAGGAAGCAGCAGATCGGAATGATTCCAAGACCCTATACCGCATCGTAAACAAGCTTACTTGTGATCGTGGCTCAAGAGTTGGGAGTTCGCCTTGTAATCGGAAGGTTGCCGGTTCGAGCCCCGGCTCGGACAGTCTCGGTCGTTGTGTCCTTGGGCAAAACACTTCACCCGTTGCCTACTGGTGGTGGTCAGAGGGCCCGGTGGCGCCAGTGTCCGGCAGCCTCGCCTCTGTCAGTGCGCCCCAGGGTGGCTGTGGCTACAATGTAGCTTGCCATCACCAGTGTGTGAATGTGTGCGTGAATGGGTGGATGACTGGATATGTAAAGCACTTTGGGGTCCTTAGGGACTAGTAAAGCGCTATATAAATACAGGCCATTTACCATTTACTGGATCGAGGACCAATGCAAACGTCACAGTCGAGGAAAAAAATGGGAAGCTCTCGATCGCCCAAGAAGAGCAAAACAAACAATGGGCCGAACACTTCCGAGAGACCCTTAACCAGCCAGTCCACCAAGACGTACAATTTTAAGGTGAAGGATTCCCAAGATGAACTTGGGGTCAATACTTGTATGTTCATTGCATAAAAAAATATAGAATTTCAAGTTGCAGTATTCTTATTGATAAATCCTGTATATTGAGGGTCCTGCAGTATCTTAGCTGTTCCTAGTACTGTGCTCTTCTGGACAAAGATCTCCGATGTTGTTCCTGGGATCTGCTGGAGCCACTCACCTAGCTTGGGAGTCACTGCACCTAGTGGTCCGATTACCACTGGAACCACTGTTATCTTCACCCTCCACATCTTCTCCAGCTCTTCTCTGAGCCCTTGGTACTTCTCCAGCTTTCTTTTTCCGTTATCTGTGTTCTCCTATTGCTTCTATTTCCTTCATTTGTGTTCCTATCATGCATTCTCTATTCTATGTGCTCATTTTTTTGTTTTCTGTGCATTGTTTGTTTTTTTTTTTTTTTTTTTTTTTTTTTTTTTTTTTTTTTTTTTTTTTTTTTTGTTTTTTTTTTTTTGTGTCATTTGGCATCACTACATCTATCACTGTTTCTCAGTTAGCGTGGATGTTGGGTGTCAAAGATCCCATAGGTCCCTCATCCCACTCATGTAACCTCTTCTGCTTGGGTTAATATAGTAGCATTCCAACAGTGACCTATTTTTCCTCTCTTGCCCAACGATGCCCTTCTCTCTGTTGGAGTAGCCCACTTCTCATCAGGGTGCCCTGGTTCCTCATCATCTGACGCAGACCTTTTTAATCCGGGCAAGTCCGAGCGAGTATGGCTTCATATAAATAAAACACCCAGCACGCCCCTGCGGGCGGTTTATCCTTTAAGCTCAGGTCCTCTACCAGAGGCCTGGGAGCTTGAGGGTCCTGCGCAGTATCTTAGCTGTTCCCAGGACTGCGCTTTTCTGGACAGAGATCTCCGATGTTATTCCCGGGATCTGCTGGAGCCACTCGCCTAGCTTGGGAGTCACCGCACCTAGTGGTCCGATTACCACGGGGACCACTGTCACCTTCACCCTCCACATCCTCTCCAGCTCTTCTCTGAGTCCTTGGTATTTCTCCAGCTTCTCGTGTTCCTTCTTCCTGATATTGCTGTCATTCGGAACCGCTACATCGATCACTACGGCCGTCTTCTTCTGTTTGTCTACCACCACTATGTCCAGTTGGTTAGCCACCACCATTTTGTCCGTCTGTATCTGGAAGCCCCACAGGATCTTAGCTCGGTCATTCTCCACCACCCTTGGGGGCATCTCCCATTTTGATCTCGGGACTTCCAGGTTATAGACCCCAGCCTCTATGGATCTTGTACTCAGAGCTTGTTCTTGTGCTGCCATGATTAGTGCCTCTGTGCTGTCTTTCAGTCCAGCTTTGTCCAGCCACTGGTAGGATTTCTGGATATCAGCCACCTCCTCTATCTGCCGGTGGTACATACCATGCAGGGGCCTGTCCTTCCACGATGGTTCCTCGTCTCCCTCCTCTTTCTTGGGTTTCTGCTGCCTGAGGTATTCACTGAGCACTCGGTCAGTTGGGGCCATCTTCCCAATGTATTCTTGGATGTTCGTTGTCTCATCCTGGACTGTGGTGCTGACACTCACCAGTCCCCGGCCCCCTTCCTTCCGCTTAGCGTACAGCCTCAGGGTGCTGGACTTGGGGTGAAACCCTCCATGCATGGTAAGGAGCTTTCTTGTCTTAATGTCAGTGGCTTCTTTCTCCTCCTTTGGCCAGCCTATTACCCCAGCAGGGTACCTGATCACGGGCAGGGCGTACGTGTTGATGGCCCGGATCTTGTTCTTACCATTCAGCTGACTCCTCAGGACTTGCCTGACCCTCTGCAGGTACTTGGTGGTTGCAGCTTTTCTAGCGGCCTCTTCGTGGTTCCCATTTGCCTGCGGGATCCCCAGGTACTTGTAACTGTCCTCTATGTCTGCAATGTTGCCTTCTGGTAGTTCAATCCCCTCAGTTCTGACTACCTTCCCTCTCTTTGTTACCATCCGACTACACTTCTCCAGTCCGAACAACATTCCAATGTCATTGCTGTATAGCCTGGTAGTGTGGATCAGTGAATCGATGTCTCGTTCACTCTTGGCATACAGCTTGATGTCATCCATGTACAGGAGGTGGCTGACAACTGCTCCGTTCCGTAGTCGGTATCCGTATCCAGTCTTGTTAATGATCTCACTGAGGGGGTTCAGGCCTATGCAGAACAGCAGTGGGGACAGAGCATCTCCTTGGTAGATCCCGCACTTGATGGTGACTTGTGCTATGGGCTTGGAGTTGGCCTCTAGTGTTGTACGCCACATCCCCATTGAGTTCCTGATGAAGGCTCTCAGGGTCCTGTTGATCTTATATAGTTCTAGGCATTCCAGTATCCAGCTGTGGGGCATTGAGTCATAGGCCTTCTTGTAATCAATCCAGGCAGTGCACAGGTTTGTCAGTCTGGTCTTGCAGTCTCGGCTGACTGTTCTGTCTACCAGTAGCTGGTGTTTTGCGCCTCTGGTATTCTTGCCAATTCCTTTCTGTGTCTCGCTCATGTATTGGCCCATGTGCCTGTTCATCTTAGCCGATATGATGCCTGACAGGAGCTTCCATGTAGTACTGAGGCAGGTTATTGGTCGGTAGTTGGAGGGGACTGGTCCCTTCTTGGGGTCCTTGGGGATCAGGACCGTCCGGCCTTCAGTTAGCCATTCCGGGTGTCTCTCGTTAACTAGCAGCTGGTTCATTTGTGCTGCCAGACGCTCGTGGAGTGCAGTCAGCTTCTTCAGCCAGTAGGCGTAAACCATGTCGGGCCCTGGTGCTGTCCAACTCGTTATACTGGAGACCCTTTCTTGGATATCTGCCACTGTGATGGTTACTGGACCCTGTTCAGGGAGGTTGCTATGGTCTGCCCTCAGATCCACTAGCCACCGAGCATTGCCGTTATGGGTTGCGTCCTTCTCCCATATGCTCTTCCAGTATTGCTCTGTCTCCAGCCTTGGTGGTGCTGTTCTCTTATTGTTCCCTTGCCACTGAGAGTACACCTTTGCTGGTTCTGTGGAGAACAGCTGGTTTATTCTCCTGCCTTCTATCTCTCTGGTGTACCTCCTCAAGCGGCTGGCCAAGGCTGTGAGTCTTTGCTTGGCAGTTTCCAAGGCCTCAGGTATGGACAGTTTGCTGTATTTCTTATGCACCTTCTTTGCCGCACCTTTCTGCAACTCCGTTAGTTGGCTAACCTCCCTCCGTGCTACTTTGATCTTAGCCTCTAGCCTCCTTCTCCATGGAGGGTACTGCCCTTTGTGGCTATTCAACTTGTAGCCAAGCATCTCACTGATCACTGCTGCCGTATTGTAGATCAGCTTGTTAGTGTCGGTAATCGTGGTTGTAGGTATTGTCCGTAGTGCTGCATTAACATCATCTAACAGACCTACTGAAGGTACTTCACGTAATCTTGGTAACCGGCTACGGGGGATCCAGGTTTCAAGCTTGGCCATGATCCTATTTTTCAGGTATATATATAAATATAAATATCTCCCTCACCAAAATACATGACTACACAATTTGTGTATTTATTTTAGAAGTGACTTTTTTTTATATTTGCATAAACTCACCCTGGGTCAACACACCTGATTCAAATTATTAGTTCATTCCCAGGCCTCTGGAGAATTTCAAGACATGTTGAGGAGGTCATTTAAATCAGCTGTGTTGAGTCAGGGACACATTTAAAACCTGTAGGACACCGGCCCTCGAGGCCTGGAGTTGGACACCTCTGGTCTATGGGGATTAAAAAATTTTTTTAAACAGCATTAACGACCCTTCATTACTTCAATTTCCTTCTGTTTAGCGTTGGCTTAATTTGTCAGGTTGCTGCTTGGTATAAGGGCTGTATTGGTGTGGTGGTTTCAGTGTTTTTTTTTTGAGGAAATTTGTTTTGAATTCCTATTTTAAAATAACTATTTATTAAGGAAATACTAGAGAAAATCTATAAGGTTAAATGGCGACAGCAGCATATAAGAGCAGAGAAACATTTTTAGATAAAAAGTGCAAATAGTCACTTTTATCAACCATTGGTTGATGAAAGTTTCACTGAGATATCACAGATATATTCAGATATGGTGATAAATAAGGACATAACATCAATTCTTTACTTTATGGTCAGAAACGTGGACACAGCTTGTGTGCCATGTTAGCCACATGGTACAGTATGAAGTAGTTTCTGATGCATGTCTTTGCGCTGCTGGCTCACCTCTAGCGTCTCACCTCTTTCATGTTTTCCTCTTAGCTTCAGAGAGAAGCCGCAAACAATAGCTGGGTCCCTCTGTGGAAATGGAAAATTGATCACAGTCAGGGATGAGCTTATCCTCTGTGGGTTTGAGTGGAAAATGTTTGCTGCACTACTGAGTGCAGTGAGCTGATATATGGTGGCAAATAATAATAATAAGCGGTCCACTGGAGCATTGTGACTGACTCAAACAGAAGATGTAAATAAATAAGGCAGACTCTCCACATACAAATCTGTTCCTTCACAAACGCTAAAGTTCAGATTTCAGAGCAGAGCTGCACTCAGACCTCTGCTGCTGAGAAGAAGCGGTGCTTTGTCCCTGACACAGAGAACAGACAAGCATCTCTGCTGAATACGTTTGGACATGTGGTGGAATGGGCTAGCATTAACATTCATACATCCTAAATCTATCACATGAAGACATACAGTATGAAAAGTCTCAGGCCCTTCTGTATCTTTTATATTTGGTTTGGAAAATAAACAGAAATAGTTACAAGAATTTATTGAAAGGTGAAAGCATGTCCAGTCTACGTTCATTATTCCATCAGTTAACAATAATAACACCACTGACTGAAAAGCCCAAACTGTGACAGAGTGTGACGTATCATGTTTAAGTCTCTTTGGTAGTCTTAAGTGTGTCCAACTCCTCAAAAGCTGCTGTCCTACAGCGTTTAGCTGCATCCCTACTCCAACACAGTTGAATGAGATGGTTGGATTACCTCGTCAGCATGCCATCAAGCTTGGCAAAGGCCTGGTAACAAGCCATTCATTAGAGTCAGGTGTGTCGGAACAAGAGTGCATCTAAAAGCTGCAGCTCTCAGGGAAAAGCAACCTCTCTGTCTGACTCTCACTCGAGGACTGGAGTTGGACACCCCTGTCTAGTGCCTTGGTTATTCCTGTTTAGATTTTGATTATTTCGTATTTTCCCCTTTGTGTCTTTGCCCTTGGTCGATTTTGTATCTTCAGGTTTACTTAAGTTTTCCTATTGTCCATCAGTAAAGCTGCTTTTTGACTTTAAGTTTCACCTCCGCGTACGAGCCTGCATTGGGTCCTTTCCTGCCTGCCTGCACGCAGACCGTGACACAGAGTTTCGACCATGTTGTACAGATGGCTGTACAAACTCATGATTAAGTCTGTCTTGGCCTCCTCTGTACCGTAGAACGTTTTGGTATTTTTCATAGATATGTGAAAAACCTCCAGAAAGCCCAGAGTACTGCTGAAGACCAGTTTGTTCCACAGTACTGTACATGTAAAATAATATTAGTCGTTACCTTTGAAAATACATTTTTCTCTTTGATGGAAAGGGAGAATGATGAGGTTCAGACAGAAATGCACCCCCTCCTTAAGATATTGATGTCAATAACTGACTTCCATTAGTACTGTGAATAAGGCTTACACCTATAAATGTTACCATCACTTTTACTGCTGATATTTAAGCGTGACATTTCGTGCCATGTTTACTGGCCTTCATACTTGTTATGGGGATAGTTTCTTATAATGAATGGGGAACTTTGGCAGCAAACATGCCACGGAAAGCTGCAACCTGATGTGCTTGAAAAATAATTTAGGTAATTTATTGTGCTTACAGCAGCTCATCCATCACTGTCACAAACTATTGGCTCGCACGGTCCAGCGCGAGTCTTTGCAGCAGCAGCACATTAAGACGAAGCATTCCTTTGTTGGCGGCTAATACAAATCATGTTCAAAATTACTTCCTGCAGCTGAAGGAAATTTATGTTCCAGTACAAAAAACTGCACTCTACACTAAGGCTTGTCTGCTGAGAATATTTAGTACCCACTCGTGTTCCCTAGTAGTTTATAAAGACTTGAGAAATGTGACATTAAGTCAGTGTCGGGGTAGTAAGAGCTCTAGACATGTCTAACTCTCAAAGCCTAAAACTAATTTAAAGGACACTGTTTAGTTTGTAAAGCAATGTTCTTTTGTGCTTGTGGGAAATTATCTTATTCAAATGCAATTATTCAAATGTGCACATGATTATAATCCTGAAACACAGCGTGGTGGATTCATTTCTCATGTCTAATCAGGTTTTTGATTCCTTGGTTACCTCATTTCCTCCATAACAACGCTGCAGTTCGAGCCACTGAAGTAATTAGATGCGTCAATGGCTGCGGAAAAGTTGTTTTTTAATTGTTTTGTGTTGTAATGTTATCTAATGTACCATACTGTAGCATAGTGTCACAGTTCTATAATAACAAAGAAGTGGTTCTTATTCTGACAACTATAATTTAAAACATTTCAACACCTGGTAAAACTAAGCATTGTGTGTGTGAGTGATTCTTTTAAAGAGGCATATTTAATTTCCTCTACATGTTAGACATGAAAATGTGCAGCGCAGTCCTTTGTGTGTGGTTAATGTGCAGCCGGTAAACTGATTTGGGGGCTTTGACACATTTTCCTGATACATTTGAAAATGACAGGACAAAAATTAAAATGTAATAAATGTTTAACTGCATGTGTCTTCCTGTCTTTATGCTGAGCTATGCTATAACTGGCTCCTCTTCACCTGTACCAATCTTCATCCCTTCCTCAAAGTCAGATTACACCAATTCATAGATTCATTTATTAAAATAACAATAAAAGTAAATTCAGTCTGGTATCTTGTGAAGTAAATCAACTTATCCTGTTCAACCACACATGGCTTGGTTGGTGATCTAACTAATGCCTTGCCTGGTGATTTCACAGAAAGGTCTGTGTGGATTTAAGCTCTGGTGACGCTTTAAGTGTCTCAGTCAACAAAAGAAGTTTCAGCGATTCACTGAAAACATTTATGCGGCTGCATTCCCGCACCAGCAGCATTTACTACTGTCAGGTTTGTGCTGCAAATCAGACCCAAGAAAAACTGTTTGACTTTGCTTTAGTGTCACACACAAAGGACAGCCTGTCTTGTAAGGTCAAAACACGAGAGACAGTCTTAAGAAAGTGTAAGAAAGTGTTAAAGACTGGAACACAAAAGCTGCCAGTGTTAGGGCTTTTTTTACTGTTACATGTAGACGCATCCGCAAATCGCTACCTTATCGTGGTGGAGGGGTTTGTGTGTCCCAGGGATCCCAGGGGCAATGTTGTCCAGGGGCTTCTAGCCCCTGGTAGGGTCTCCCATGGCAAATTGGTCCTGGGTGAGGGACCAGACAAAGAGCGATTCAGAAGACCCCTATGAGGAGACCATCTGGGGAACAGTTCCCCCTGCCTGAGATAGGATTAGCCGGCCCCGCCCTGGAGCCAAGGGAGGTGGCTGGGCCTTAGTCCAAGGGGCCCGGCAGGGCACGGCCCGAAAAAGGGATATGGGCCCATCTTCCTGCAGACCCACCACCCGCAGGAGGCACCGTAGGGTTCGGGTGCTTTGAGAGTTGAGCGATGCACAGGAGCAGAGGCCCTGGCGGACCGACCCCCGGCTACCAAGACATGTAGATGGTTAAAAGAATGACCCTAAAGTCTGTGGACACGATCTATTATATTCATATACATTACTAGTACAAACATCTACAGACATAAAGGATTCCAAGCTTGTTTACCATGTCTAAGGAGGAATGATGCAAGGAAGTATAAAAAAGATCCTGTTTTTACAAACAATCTGATGTGGATAAGATAAAAAAGCAGGGTCCCACTGAAAGAAAAATGTCTTCATAGTGCTATTAGAGACCAAATCCTCAGAGGCTCAATTTACCAGAGCTCAAACATGAAACCCAAATTCAAAAAACAAGCTGCTGTGGAGTGATGCTAACATATTATTTATGACAAGCCATGTCTCCCAACTAATGGTGGATCCAATGATGTTTACTGTGCTGCAGATGTAGTCCTCAATTTAACAGCAAAGAATTAATTAACTGCTGTTTCATTAACACTCTCCATAATAAGGTTAGATTTATGTACAGGAAAATCATCATTCCACAGTTTCCCTGTAAACCTAATTTCAGTGCAGCAGAACTGGATCTATTTCATTATGGGGAGGATGTGCCATGGCAGAGCTTTCACAAAAATGAAGTGACACTCTGGGAAAGGCAGAGGACGGTAATGCCTTATAATGGGGATAGATGGTGAAAAGCTGTCCCTGAGGGTTTACAGACGGCTGCTCCCTAGGACAACTGAGAAAACATGGCTTAAATGAAATGAGAGCAAAGGCAGCATGCTACTGAGTGTGCACCAGACTACTATGGCCCAATCACCCATGAATCCATCTCTTCAGCTCACACCGGTAACAATCAAATGCAGTCAGTGACAGGATGCACAGTACATCTGATCAGGGTTCTCAGGACTTCACTTTTGTCATCTTACAGCCTTATTCAACCAAAATGTTGCTTGAGATTTTCACAAATTTATGAAAAATAAAAAAACCTAAATACAGCACGCATAAATGCTCACAGTCTTTCTACGCAATTACAAACTCAAGCCTTTTGAGTATGACGCGACAAGCTTGACACGCCTATTTTTGGGCAGTTTCTCCCATTTTTCTCTGCAGAGCCTCTCAAGCTCCATCAAAATGGATGTGCACAGTCATTTTCTGATCTCTCCAGAAATATTCACTTGGGCTCAGGTCTGGGCTCTGGCTGCGCCACTCAGAGACATTCACAGAGTGGTACCAAAGCCATCAAGATTATCAGCAAGGATGTCTCTGTGCATCATTGTATACATCTTTCCCTCGACCCTGACTGTTGACCATAATATCCTATTAGAGCGATTAGAACATGCTGTAGGTATTACAGGTACTGTGCTGCAGTGGTTTGTATCATATCTATCTAATAGACTCCAGTTTGTGCATGTAAATGGAGAGTCCTCTTCACACACTGAGGTTAATTATGGAGTTCCACAGGGTTCAGCGCTAGGACCAATTCTGTTTACATTATACATGCTTCCCTTAGGCAGCATCATTAGAAGACATAGCATACATTTACACTGCTATGCAGATGACACCCAGCTCTATCTGTCCATGAAGCCAGATAACACACACCAATGAGTTAAACTGGAGGAATGTCTTAAAGACATAAAGACCTGGATGGCCGCTAACTTTCTGCTTCTTCAT